AAGCACACACACACACACACACACACACACACACACACACACACACACACACACACACACACACACACACACACACACACACATCTACTGTATCTATAGGTTGAACTGGGCTGATCTGTGTCTTTATTCATCCTTACCCAACTACGTAACTCCTTTTCTATTTTGTTTTTAACCTTCCTACAGTTTACAAAACCATCTTCTAGTATTTTTCTGCCAAATGTAAAACTCCTCTGAACTATCCTTATACATGTCTAACAGTTTATTCTGTCTCTTGTCTTTTTGCACTATGACATGCCCCACAATGCAGTGCATTAGTAACTGTCAAGTGTGCGCACAGTGAGTGTCAGTACAGAGACAAGCCGTGGAATAAAGGCAAGGGGGGTGGAGTAGACATATAGTCTCCAGGCCACAGAGAAGGCAAACAAGAATGGTGACTGTGGCTGGACGATTTGGTGCCGTGTGTCTCTCTCTCCCTATTCGACCCCGGGGTCCCAGGCGTGACAAACCAGGGAGGTTGTGGAGCTAACGGTGGGGTTACCCGCCGCTCGCGCCCCCCCCCCCCCCCCCAATCAACTGCCAACCTGCACTTTGCTTGGAAACAATGCCTCAAGCACTGGTAGGCCTCTTTTTAATAAGCATTGTTTCAGAAGACGAGATGGCTCTCTGTTGTGCCTAGAGGCGAGATGCTACTGAAATATGTACTACCTATTTCCACACGTTGCCAAAGTAACAAAGGCTTAACAAAAAGTCACAGATGTAAAATTTCTGCTGCCCCTTCATATCATCCAGCTTACACTGTCCTGCTCAGCCCTTCAGGTACTATTTTTGTTTGATATAAAACCGCTGTAAATGTGACCTTTTTCTAATCTAATAAGCTTAGTGGAGGCTTAACCGTCAGGCAGCAGAAGAGAGAATGAGAAGGATGTGAAAAAAAGAAAATGCTGTTTACTGTAAACAAGATGTAGCGTGATTACACAGGCGATACAGAAAGAGTTGTACCGGTCATTGGGCCCCGAGTCATGGGCACTGTAGCAGTGGGCACCTAGTACACATTCCTTCCCCAGTTTCCTTCTCTTCCTCGCTCAATTCTTTTCATTTCTTTTTTTAGTGCAGCTGCCATGCCTTTTGGATGCATCAGTGTCCGCAACGAGAAAACCTACAACTGCTTCTCCGACATCACAGACAAATATGAGATTGGCCAGCTTCTCTGTGCGTGAGTATTGTGCTTTCTTACGGGCTTTTAAAATCCAAAGGTTTTTCCGCTATTTCAAATGCTGATGAAATCCCTTACAATAAATGCTGCTCCTTGATGTTTAAAAGTTGTAGCTTCCTGTAGAATCAGCTGGTCTCCTGCACACTGGTCCTGATATCCTGTTTCAGGGTGGCCCCTTTCCCTTTCAGAGTCCTATGGAGACACCCTTGTGTGTGCTAGTAAGCTGTGTGTGTCTCCACAAACACACAGCACAGAAGAGCAAGCTACTTCCCTGCTCCTCCTCTCTTTTCCAAGCTAGTAGATAGACTGCTCTGTCCCTTGTGATCTTGTATTGGACGGGAAGTTCAGGGAAACTGAGCTGAGAGAGTTGGAGCTGTTCAGAAACATGATGACTCTAAGTACTCGGGCAAAAAATGTAAAGAAATACTTTGCTGGGCGATGTGTATTTGTTTGACCTGGATTTATTATTGAAAAAAAGTGTGAAAGTTGAATCCTACTTTAGGACGTTATAGGTCTGGTTTGCTGTCTTTACTTTGTATGAGCATGTAAGGTATAGCAAGGTAACGTTTTTACATTGCGCAGGAAAGAGTTCTGCGAAATCTGCATGGCCCGGGAGATGCAGACAGATCGTGTCTATGTCTGTAAAAAGTTTCTGAAGAAAGATGGCCGAAAAGTGAGGAGGGCGGCAAAGAATGAGATCATGATTCTGAAAATGTAAGTAAATTGCAGTCTTTTTTAGAGTCCTGATAAGGTTTGAAAAGGAACCCCACCAAAGCTCGGAGGGAGGCAGCAGTGTCTAAAAAAAAATTGACAGCCACTGCAGGGCGCACCTACAGCCATTTAAAGGAAATATAATTAGGAAAATGTGTCAGTGTGTAAAAAAAAATACGTAATACTTAAAAAAATGCTTTGAAAACTAATTTTTTTGAATTATAGTTGCTATCAGGTTTTCAGAAAGTTGTGGAAGTTACAAATCTGCACCAACCACATAGTGTAATATATAAACTGTGATGTATGGGTCATCACTGATGATGAATGCTTTGGAACATTAATATTTGCTACTGAGCATAGTAATTTCCAACTAATTGCAAACTGTTCCCTCTCTAATGGAGAGGAAGGTGTGAAACTCTTACCAAACATGCTGTATATCCAGGGCATGCTGTAAGTCTTCCAAAGTCCTCCCATATTTTTGGAGCTGGCTCCTAATTTTTTCGGAGGATGTGGCAGGGCTTGTGTTCAACAGCAGGTAAGGGAGAATATCCCAGCAGGTTGTATTGATGGAGTAAATTGAGGAGAGATTGGTACATCTTTTACGATCCTCATTGACAGATCTCTCCATGGATGAGGCAATTAAAACTAAACGCTGATTGACTCCTATGCCTTTAAATTGGGACGGTCACTTTTAGCATGTTAGTAAGAAACTCTGGATGAGTTTAATGGAAGTATCTGTCTCCAGTTACCCTGAAAGCCATCTCCAGCAAACGATCTTCTCAGTTTTACTGATTAACCTTTTAAAGTTCCCAGGGGAGGCCCCTTCTGCTTGGAAAGTTGATAATATTGACAAACACATCATTTTTTATCTGTTTTAGCAGACAATATTAGCTCTGAGCTGAAGCTGAGAAAATAACAGTCTCGGTTTTTCTAAGTCAACCCTTGAGAAGATTGGATTATGGTCAGTTGAAAACCAGACGGTGTTATAATGTGTTGGGCTCTCAGGTCCCATGTGTTTAGCCACTTTAGATCTCATAAGCCTGGTAGCTTTAATAAAATGCTGCCATCTTCTTGCTTGTAAGAGTTAGTTAGTTATTTTTTAAAAGAGGGATGTGAATATTTTTTTATATGATGAAAAGGGCAGACTATCTCCCAGTCCAGAAACGATCCAATTTAACAGCGCCTAAATATGAACCGAGAGAGAAATGTATGCTTCTGCATCCCAGTCCTGTTAAAAATCTTTCCTAACTCTTAAACATTTTTACTGGAGAAAAGGGAACAATGGCTCATCTGCTTCAGATATTTTCCAGAACCTGAAGAATCCCTAGCAAGCAATTTCCATTAGCCGGAACAAGCATTCAGTAGGAGACATTCAAGTACAGTCAACATATTGTCTTGGTTTACTGTATTTTCAGGGCATAACAAGAGACCTGATATGCAATTCTGGCCAGAGCCAGGAATGAGCTTTGTTCCACTTATGGGCCACTAAATGTAGAGGTGTGTTAGGTTAGTACACAACTTAACATTTTGAGCTTTGTCAGAATTTGTATAACGGGGTACTATGGAAATAAACTGAGGTGACGTATTGGCACCTGGCATTGCTGCTATAAAGTGCAGGAGGTGATCTAACATCTTAAAACTAACCAAGTAGTAGTATCTCAAGTAGCCTTTGGTGCCTACAAAAGTGAAATAACAGTTGCCCGTTATGCATATTTTTGGCATAGCCAGTCTAACAGATGTATGGAGCGCACTGCAGGAAGTGCGATGTGAGCGATTGTCCTTCAGTGAATGACCATACTCCAAAGTCTGGAGCAGCTATGAAGCAAAGTGAACAATCCTATATCCTATCAGCTTGTTGTCCAGAGCTCAATAATCTGGCAAAGAATGTAACTTGTTTGCTGTTGGTTACTGTATGCAATATTATTTTGAACTGCAACATCACTACATAGAGAGAATGCTACCCGGGACCTCAGGGGGTTATGTACCCTCTAGCTAGCAGATTCTATTGCAGTAATGAAAGGGAAAACCTTATTGGGTGCCAGGAGAAACAGGAATGCTTCTTCCTACTGTTTCCAATCCTGTAGCTGTAGTTCCAAAACAGATATAAATGAAATATAACAAAAGACAAACTGGAATGACCACAAAGATGCTCTTTGCACAGTGACGTGTGCTTTCTTGTAAGCATATTTGCCGTAAATTTCTTCAAGAGGTCCGGGTATCCATACATAATGGTCTTCATACAGAAAGTGCTAATCAGTCAAAGAGACAGTGGGTAGAAATGCATTAATATTTCATTACATTCAGTAGTCTGTAGTCTGCTTCCTTTTCGGTAAAAGTGCTTGTGGCCATTTTTTAGCCCACAACGGCTTCCACTTAAAAGCAAATTTCCTTCTTCGGTCTTCTCTTGATAGGCTAATAAGCATAAAGAGAGGACTAGCATTCCTAATAGATCTTCTCACATGTTTCCCGGTATGAAGGACTTCAAGATGGTAGAAGTATCTTTTTGGATATTCACCCATTAGGGTTGCAAACTCATCCCTTTAAGGCTGAACTTGCATGAATAGCACAGTGCAAGTGGCTAATTGAATGTAGTTATGGAACTGAATAAATCTAAATACCGCGTTAAAGTGAACTTCTCAGTGAATTTCTCTTATTTGCTGCCTGTGGTCTGTTTAGCCCTTTGCTATACGACGGTGGTGTCACAATGTCTTGGAATCCGTGCCGGATTTTCCCTTTTGTCCCTGGTGCTGGGCTGTCAGCCTATAGTATACCACATGGCTGCAGCCAATCTGCGCCCCCCCCCCATTCCCCCCCCCCCCCCCCTCTCCCCCTATCAGTTTCTCATTTGTTGCTCTTCGTTGGAGCAACAAGTCCTACCCCTTGTGCTGGACCCCCTGTGATCTCTTGTGTACCTTCCCCTGTTCATCTCCAATGTGTACCCTGTGATTTCTCACTTAGCTATTTCCCCCTTGCTCTTTCCTTGTGTCCCTGTTTGTTGCAGTTTCCTGGTTGCTCCTGTGTGTTGGCCTCCTACCTTGCTTGCACTCCTTCTCTGTGTCTTCCGGTGCAATGCATGTCCTCTGCTTTCCTAGTGCTCGGTTCCTGTGCATCTGTGGCCGTGCTACGCACGTCTCCCATTGCACGGTTTCCAGTTCATTCCTTTGTGAGTTTGCTTTTGTCCTGCACCTTTGCTTGTGCATATTATCCTGTGTGCAGTAGTCTCTGTGTTATTCCCTTGTGTATGCTCTCTGTATCTGAGCTCCTGTATTACGCACCATCCCTTGTGTGCATCTTCCCTCTGTGCGTTTTCCAGTATTGATGTCTCATCTCCCTTGTGCTTCCAGCGTGTCCTGTTAGAGGATGGTAATCGCCTCCTCAGTGAGCTCCTGCACCTGTGCTTACCTGTGAGTCTGCCTTCCTCCTGTGTGGCTGCTTGTCTTAAGGTGCCCATACACTGCACGATTATCGTACGATAATCGTATGCGATCGGTTTTTCGTACGATAATCGAGCAGTGTGAACGGAGACGTGCGACCGTTTCTACTGTACGGTCGCACGTCTTCTGTCGAACCAGCATGTTCGAAAACCAGCCGGGAATCGTACGATTCTCGGCTGGTTAGAACGGTGCTCGGAAGATAAATGCTGAACGGGCCGGTGTGCGCACGCGCACACTGCCCGTTCAGCATTGCGGTCATCGGAAGCCCGCCCCTCAGGGGGGCGGGCTTGCGATGATCGAGAGTGCGATCTGCCTGTCCAAGATAGGCAGATCGTACGTTTTTTTAATCCCTGTACAACCATCGCAAGACTAAAGTCTTGCGATGGTTGTAGAGTGTATGGCCACCTTTATGCAGCCTCACTCCTCTCAGAACTCCAGATAGCCGTGTTGTGCTGTCTTTCTGGTGGCCCCTTGTGTCCGTTCCCTCTATTGTTTACACTCCTTCCCCTGTGCCTCTTTGTAACCTGTACTACAGCCTGTCCAAAGCTCTCTCCCCTGCCTGCCCCTGTGTTCAAAGCCCCGGTGCTGCAACTAGTGCAGTGAGTCTGTGTGGGTGCGGTAGAGGGCCGCAACCTGGAAGGTGTCCAGCAGCCAATCATCCTCACCATTAGAGGCTCTGTGGAAGACCTGGCCCTTCTTAGATTCTGCGCCTCTAGTGCATCCCCAAAAACGCACAGACTCTTAGTTCCTAAGTCCCCTGTGACATACATCTCAGACATCACTCCAGCCGGTGACCCTAACCCGCTTTGCAAGACCCTGGTCCCCAGATCATGATAGATGGCAGCAGGGCCCTATAAGCAAAGCAGCCGGGAGTTTGCTTATAGATGTTAAGGTGCCCATACACTGCACGATTCTTGTACGAGAATGGATTGGTGAATAAATACCACCAAAAGAAAGCTCTATCTGTCCTCAAAAAAGGGTATAAAATTCATTTCAGTACAGCGCTGCATGACGGAATAAATGTCAGTCAAAGTACCGCAGCGCTGAATACTGAAAAATGGCCTGGATGGGAAGGGGGTCTAACACCGCGGATGTCAACTGGTTAAAAAATGATTGTTCTATTGAAGATGAGCTGCCTGACTCCTGGAAGCTGCACTTGTACATCTATGCAGTATCACGCACGCAAGTTTGCTCCAAAACTAAAATCACTTGTGGGGACTGGGCAAAGATTCTCCACTTGTGGGGACTGGGCAAAGATCCTCCACTTGTGGGGACTGGGCAAAGATTCTCCACTTGTGGGGACTGGGCAAAGATTCTCCACTTGTGGGGACTGGGAAAAGATCCTCCACTTGTGGGGACTGGGCAAAGATTCTCCACTTGTGGGGACTGGGCAAAGATTCTTCACTTGTGGGGACTGGGCTTCCTTCTGCTGCTGGATGGAAGTGTCAGTGGCGACAGAGAACAATCATGTAAGCGTGTTCCCTTTAAATCTCCAAGAAAGCAAAGGAAGCCCTGGAAATGAAAGCATATCATAGTGCTGTGACTAATCATTGTCTGGTGCGACCTGAA